TTTTTTTTCTAATAGAATAAAAATGAAATTACTAATTAATAAAATTTTATATTTTTTCTTAATTATTATATGTTGTAATTACCTTCTTTTTAAATAAAAATAATTTTATTAAATAATATTCTTAAAAAATAACCTAAATTAAAAATTAAATTTACTAAAATCGAATCAAAAATTTTATTGGACTTTTCACCTAACAAAATATATATCTGACTATCATCACTTAATATTTACATTTTAGTAATAAAAAAAAAAAGAGAATATACTTTTTATTTCTCGTGTGTGTCTCATATTTTCTACACTAGTTTTCCTTTATATAAATTGTTAGAAGAATATACTTCTAACAACATTAAACTACACGAAATTAACCTTAAATAGTTTTTTAAAAAAATTCCTTAAATAGGAATTGTACCTCCATTTAAAAACCTCTCTTACAGTTTGCAGACCACTAAAAAAGGACTTCTTCCGTTAACAGATACCCTTGTTTTTTCATTCCTATGTAAGTGCCGCTTCACTCGTTTTTTTAACGAAATTCCATCCAGTTTTAGTCCGGCCCTCCTCTGCCTCCCCTTAAGGGCAGCCAATTTTAAGTGCAATACCGGCTTCTTTTCAGGTATCTGCATCCTTCCTCTGTTTCTTCCTTTCATTTGATGGGTAATGCTGAATTGGTTCAAAATGTAATGTAACGTAACGTAAAAATTCTTTCTTTTTGATCAATACCAGTCATTCCTTTTCCCATACTCATGTATGCATTGATTTAAAGATTTATTCTTTCTGGGTTTTTTTCTAACCCCATCATATGTTTTCTGTAGCCGTTCTTCTTGTGATTATCTTCACTCATCATTAATGATTGTATATGGGAGCTTTAGATCGTTGTATGTGTCAATGAGATATCAATTGGTTTTGATTTTTCCTAAGTCCAATAGGTTTTTAAGGGAAAATGTCTTGTTTAGGTGCTATTGGTGATGCAGCGTTTTTTTTTTTTTTTTGGCCTTAAGTTGTGGTTTTGATTTTTTTTATATGAATATTTTGTGTATTTAGGTTAGAGACTGGCTCTAGCATTCCTCAAAGAAGCATCAAATGCAGGCTAAAAATATGTGAATGGGTTTGAAAAAGAATTTAGGGGTAGTGGCTAGTTCAACATCACTGTGAGCCTTGGTGTAGCTGTTTTCTGATTCTGAAATTTTCTTGCAGAATCCCACTAGGAGGATGCTTATTTAGTTTCAAAACAGAAGATTTAACCTGTTTTGAATGTTTAAGCATAAGGCAATAATTAGGATCGAAGTTTTGTTAAATTAATCTTACAATTTAGTGGTTCAAATGTTAATACCTAGGATATCATTGTTGCCTCCGTCACCAGGATATGCTCCTCATGGTTTAACCGCTAAATGCAGTTGACTTATCTAGCTACAAGGGAAAACTATTTGGTAACTCTACCCTAATGTTAGGTTCCTATGCAGTGCTCACGTGGTGTTCTGATGTGAGCATCAACTTCATGGACATTGAATTAACATAATCAATGGGAACTTTTAAATTACTGTCATTGATTTCAAATCACTTCATATCGTTTACCATGTGGATACTGGTTTATGGTATTTTGTTACTGATTTCTCTATTTTCTGTTGGATAGATAATTTAATTGAATATTAAGAATTTTGTGATGGCTACTTTGGGGAATTCAACCAATATATTTTGGCATGAATGTCCGGTTGGCAAGCTTGAAAGGCAGAGGTTACTAAAGCAAAAGGGATGTGTTGTATGGATCACAGGTCTCAGTGGATCAGGTTTATCTTCACTTTCTTATTTGATTGTAATTTTTCTTTTAAAACATGTACAGATTTCTGATTTGGAAAGTAAATTTTCTAGCAGCAATTTTCTAGCAGTTAAATTTCCTTCTTGTTCATAAAAATTTATAAAATTTCCGTTAAGGAATTCCAACCAGAATTTGCGTTTTGCCTATGGACTTGCGCCGTTATGGTTAGCATCACTGAGATGAAACTAAAGTTACTTTATCTGAACAATGAATCATTCAGGGAAAAGCACACTAGCTTGTTCATTAAATAGAGAACTATATACAAGGGGAAAGCTGTCTTATGTGCTTGATGGAGACAACCTTCGGCATGGATTAAACAAGGATCTTGGTTTCAAGGCAGAAGATCGAACTGAAAATATACGCAGGGTTGGTAAGTATGCTTTGGAAGTAATTTAGTTCTTAATTTCTAAATAATTGCATGGCTCTTTTTTTTGAAGTGAACTACTCCTACTCAAAGTCTCAAACTAATTCTGTATCTGATTCTTAAATGACACTCACCATAGTTTCTTTAGCCAGCTTTAACTTTTTTTTTAATGATCTCTTTCTGACAGACATCATATTTGATTGTAATTAGTACATATCCCCACATTTAACATGGATATGTCTCTAAATGTAATTAGTGCATAAAGTGACCATAAAGTCTGTCCTGTCTTTGGTGCACCTGTAAATTATTCTAAATGCCAGAAAACATGAATCTATTGTATACAATTTGAACATTGTAGTTGAGATATATATATTGATTTTATATTGTTATTGATTGGATACGTGAAGGTGAATGATATATTTTACAACTAGGAAGCCAACAACCTTCCATTCTGCCAGACCTTTAAGCGAACTTATTGAGCCTGTCTTTTGTCTGATGTATTTTTCAACTTATTTCTAAGTTTCTGTGTACCTAATTTAGGGGAAGTAGCAAAACTCTTTGCCGATGCTGGTTTAATCTGCATTGCCAGTCTAATATCTCCATATAGAAAAGACCGTGATGCTTGTCGTGCAATGTTGGCTGATGAAAATTTTATTGAGGCAAGGAACCTTATGGATTGTTCTTTTTCTTGACTCTATGTATCTTTTTCTTGAAGCTGCGTGACATTTTACGCATCCATCTACAGGTTTTCATGAACATGCCTCTAGAATTGTGTGAGGCAAGGGATTCAAAAGGTCTTTACAAGCTTGCACGTGCTGGAAAGATTAAAGGTGTGTCCTGTACAGCTTTGCATATATGGACAATGGTTATGCTGCTTTATCCTGCTTGCGCCTGTGCTTACCCTCCCAACCTTTTCTTTCATTACTCACACTCTAAATCCATGCTTAAGGGAGATGAAGGTTACCTGTGAGTTGTCCAACTAACAACCCAATGGGAATATGGAACTGGAAATTATACAATGGAGAATGACTATTTCTGTGTTTATGTTGGAGTGGGAAGTAATGTCCTGAAATTCAATTAAAATGGCTACAGCATCTGCTTTCCTTTTCTTCTTGTGGACTGTATCATGTGTTGAGGAACCTAAGAGTACATTTACACATGTTTGGTTCATAGAATATTCCATGACTATTACTGCAAATAAAGTGGGGAGGATACTCCAAAATAAGTACTGGAGATGATAATAACCATCACTATTTTATTCTGTTTTGTCGTAACCATCACTTTTATTTTGTTTTGTCCTCAGAGCTCAGAATGTTGTGTGAATAGAACCATCAATATTTTATGGGTTTTGGCATATTGGAATTATAACAAAAACCTATCAAAAACTTTCTTCAAGAAGCAATATTCAAGCAGTGTTTTGTATAGAATGTTGTTGCATTTGATTTGGTTCATATTGGTAACCATGCCACATTTTTTGAGCAGCAATGTGTTTTCTTGTTGATTTTCACGAATTGGCCATTTCTGCTGGTCTAGGTCTCATTTAATCATTTATTAAGTTAATTAAATAACATATATATTCTAAGTTTCTAAACTTCAAAGTCTACTTCAACATCATGTGTTAAAGGTAGCGTGTAACTTTCTTGCTTCATTATTAGTTTCCTTTCTTACAGGTTTTTTAGCTATTAACTTTACTTTTTCTCCTTGCAAACTAATCCTACTAATTTTGCAGGTTTTACTGGCATTGATGATCCTTATGAACCGCCACTGAATTGTGAGGTAATCGATCCTGCAATCATAACCACATGTTGTCACATGAATCTGATTTCAACAATGAGTTTCCACTTTGAAGAGAATATAGTTAATGTGAAAACTACCATTGCATCATTGGTGATGTTTCCAATAACTCAAAATGGATAATCTGTTTTTTCCTTTCCAGATAGAGATCCAACAGAAAGACGGAGTTTGCCCAACACCAGGTGATATGGCAGGAGAAGTAGTTTCTTACCTGGAGGGGAAGGGATATCTTCATTATCAGTGATTAATCTTCCCTGAATTTAGTTCCCTTTAGCGTCTTATCATGATCAAGCAGTCTAAATTGGAGATGATATATTCTCCCCATTGCTGGTAACAGCAGCTGCCCAATATTTAGGATGGGGTTGGTTGGTTCTAACTAATGTCTTTTACTGTTTACTTTGGTTCTTCTGAATAATCCACAGGGTTTAGGGGTAGTATTCATATCTTTCAAACAAGTCTCAGCTCATTATATCAATTTTTTCCCCTTTTACTACAATTATTGAATTCCAAACTTCATATCATTTACAAATTACAATGGATCTTGTTTTATTCTGATGATGTTGCTCTTTCCACATGGTAATTGAAATAACGGGTAACAATCAAAGACAAATCTAGTCTTGTTTTTTTTGGTTTGAGAAAAAATACATAGCCTTTTCTTCTTTTCTTTTTTCCTTTTTTGTAAAAATAAAGGATGAAATGTCACTTCCCTAGAGATGAAGGGGAGCGAACCCTGTATGTCTCGTATGCAAAGTGACTACATTCAAGCTACATCCCCAATTATGGTTATCCCTTCCTAAGTAAAAATATTTTAAAATGATATCATTTTAATAAAAATATTACAAAAAATTAAAATAATATAGTTTTAAGATAAGAATGTAAACTATATTAGTGTTTTTCCAATATACTTTATTGGAATAATTTAATTTTAGAGTGTTTTTTTCTTAATTTATTAATT